GAGTCAGCCTCTGGTTCTGCTTCCGCCATCCTGCCTGCCTCCTTGCTTGTCCTCCTTACTCTGTCACCTTTCTTGTCCCCTGTACATGGAAAATGCTTCCGGGGACTCTGTTCTGAGTCCCCTTCACTTCTTTCTCCACAGCAGGAGGTACGCTTCCTGCTCAGATCCTGAAATCGCAGACCTGAGCTGGTCTGAGCCAAGGCAGCAGCCTGGGATGCTGGGATGGTGGTGAATGCTGATATCAATGGTGGTCCAGGACATGAATGAGGGTAGCCCTTCAGGCATGGCTCCTGTGGGATCTGTACCCCAGCATCACTATGTGTACCCCGTTTAGCAGGGTACTGCCATGTGGGTGTATTTGCTTATGTCTAGGCTGTGATCTGAACCCCATGGCCCATCACAGGGTCTAACCTAGAGGAATGAATGAATGAATGCGGGAACGAATGAGATATGATACAGTGACACCACCAGGCAGGTTTTAGAGCGTGAGCTGAATAGATTTGGTGCCGCTGCCAGTGAGGGGAAGTTTAGGGAAGCGAACCAGGAGGGGAGCCCCCTTGGTTTGTGGAGATAGAAGCTTTATTTCATTGTTTTTGTGGTTGAATACTTTTCTGGTTTCCAGGCCACTTAGGTCTCTTGTGAACTAACTTGTGCAAAACCTTGTCCAATTTTTCAATTTTAGTGCTTGTTGTTTTCCTATCGGTTAGTAAAAGTTCTTTCTATATTAAGGATATTACTTTTCTGCCTAACATTTTTATATGCCTTTTTATTCTGATTCTATTTTTGACATACAGCGATCAGTACTTTTTGTATAAAACTAGCAATCTTGTAGTATCTTCCACAGCTTTTATGTTCAGAAAAACCAGTTAGTTAATTATGTGCCTATGTTTTCTTCTAATTATTTTTTGGCTTGATTTTTTTTAAAAAAACTTCTAATGCTTTATTCCTTCTGTAATTTGTTATAGCATATGGTGTGAGTTGAGGATATGATTCTTTTTCCAAACAGTTAATTAGTTGACCCTACAGAAATATATTTTTTTCCTCATTGATGTTTTTAATGTCATCTTACACATATTTCAATTTTTATGTGTATTAAGGCTATTCCTGCAATAGTGTTTCATGTTCTGCCTGTCCACTCTTGGACCATCTCCATGTCATTTTCATTTAGTGATTCTGTTTAGTATCTTGTAGGACAAGATACTACATTTACTATCTTTTTTCTTTTTTTAATTTTTATTGGGTAGCAGTATGTTTTTTCCAGAACCCATCAGCTCCAAGTCAAGTCATTGTCCTTCAGTCTAGTTGTGGAGGGCGCAGCTCAGCTCCAAGTCCAGTCGCCATTCCACAGTAGTTGCGGGGGGTGCAGATCCCCATCCCATGTGGGAATTGACCCGGCAACCTTGTTGTTAAGAGCACGCGCTCTAACCAACTGAACCATGCGGCCCCCTACCGGCAGCTCAGCTCAAGTCATTGTCTTCAATCTAGTTGTGGAGGGCGCAGCTCACTGGCCCATGTGGGAATCGAACCGGCAACCTTGTTGCTCAGAGCCCGCACTCTAACCACCTGAGCCACCTGGCCACTGCTACATTTACTACTTTTTAAAAACTTTGCACTCTTTGCTGCATCGACTGCAAGGATGAAAACCATTCTCAGCAATCAGATGGTGGACATTCCAGAAAATGTGGACATCACTCGAAGGGACGCACAGTTATTGTGAAGGGTCCCAGAGGCACCCTGTAGAGGGACTTCAATCACATCAATGTAGAACTCAGTCTTCTTAGAAAGAAAGAGAAGAGGCTCCATGTTGACAAATGGCGGGGAAGTAGAAAGGAACTGGCTCCTGTTCGCATTATCTGTAGTCACGTACAGAACACGATCAAGGGTGTTACGCTGAGCTCCCGTTACAAGATGAGGCCTGTGTGTGCTCACTTCCCCATCAATGTCATTATTTAGAAGAATGGTTCTCTTGTTGAAATCCCAAATTTCTTGGGTGAAAAATACATCCGCAGGGTTTGGATAAGGTCAGGTGTTGCTTGTTCAGTATCTCAAGCCCAGAAAGATGAGTTAATTCTTGAAGGAAATTATATTGAACTTGTATCAAATTCAGCTTCTTTGATTCAACAAGGCACCACAGTTAAAAACGAGGATATCAGAACATTTTTGGATGGTATCTATGTTTCTGAAAAAGGAGCAGTTCAGCAGGCTGATGAATAGGATCTAAGTTGTCCAGCTACAGAAATTCTAAGATGTCGAGTGAATCCTCAGACTTATTTGTGATATTTTGAAGATGCAATAAAAGTCATGTATTGATTTGGAAAAAATAAAAATAAAAAAATAAAATAAATAAATACAAACTTTGCATTGTCTGTGACTGTCTATTTTCCCAGTTAAACCTAGGTATTATTTTGCTAAATTTGAAACAGGTCTTCGGATTTTTGATCAGAATTGGATTAAGCTTATAAATTAACTTTTAAATAACTTTTCAAAAGGTTAATATTCTAAATTAACCTTTCAGTTGTTCATCATCCCACTCAAGATTAGGCTGTCTCTCTAATTATTCAAAAAAATTTTATCCCTCTATAAAAGTTATTTTCATACAGTGCCTGTGCCTTCCTTATTAAGTTTATTTCTATTTATTTTATGCATAACAAACACCTGTTTTCTTTATATTTTCGTCTGTCACTGGCATACAGAGTGTTTTTGATTTTGTATGTTTACTTTGCATATGGCTACTTCACTGAAATTTCTTGTTAGTTCTAACAGCTTTATAATTGAGTCTCCTGAGTTTTCTGGGTATATTAACATATCATCTGCAAACCATATTTTTGCTTGCTTCTTCATCATTTCCTTTTCTTGTGTCATATGGGCTAACTCTTCCAATAAGGCGTGAAATCTCAGAGGTGATAGTAGCATTTCTCTCTCATTCCTGATCTTAATCAGGTGTTTCACCATAAGTATGATGTAGGTCATTGTGGTTAAGGAAATATTCTTCTTCTTAGTCCTGAACGCTTATTTTAATCAGGTTTACATGTCTCATTTTATTAAGTGTCCATTTGGCATTTATTCAGAAAACCGCAACTTTTTTCTCTTTTAATGAGAGATTGTGTTAAGACATTTTTTTTCAATATTAAAGTCATTCAGGGGATTAACTGTCCTTTGTCAGTTGATCCATAAAGTAGGCTGTAAAAAAGTTAGTGCTGAGTCTGCTTATCAGCACCATCCTTAAGAAGGTGGGTCTGAAATGGGCTGCTTAAGTTTGAATCCCATCTGAGTCATGGTGTGACTTGGGCCCCCTTCCTTAGTTTCTCTTTGCCTTAGCTCTTCATTGTAAAAGGGAGATGATATTGATGGTATCCACCTTATAGGGCTGTTGGGAGGATTAAACAAGTTAATGTATGTAAAGTTCTCAGAAGAGAGTCTAACCAAACACTCAATACATACAAGCAGTATGTTTAATTATTGAGCACTTACCATGTGCTGGGTACTGAGCTTGGTGTGTGGCTTCAAAAATGGGAATATTCACATAGGATCTGTCTTCTCATAAAGCTTATAGCCTGGCAAGAAGACAGATATTTATACAATACTCAATAATATGGTGTTATGAGAGCACATAGTAGGGGGTTTAATCTAGTCAAGGAGAGACACGTGACTGAGATCTGAAAGATAAATATGACAAGAAAGGAGGGAAAAGTGTTCTAGGCAGAGAGAACAGCATGTGCAAAGGTCCTGTGGCTGTGCAGTAAGAGAGTGTGGCAGGTACAAAGAACTGAGAAGGGCGGCGCTTGAATGCAAAGCGAGTGGACACAAGGCTAAGAGGTGACTAAGGGCCAGGCCATGCAGAGACCCATGTAGACCGTTAGTGACGTTTCCTTACTGAAGAGCAATGAGGAGGTCCCCGAGCAGTAGCATCATTGCACCACTGGGGAGTGAGTTACAGGAGCAGACTCTCTGGCTCCACTCAGGTGCTGAGGATCAGAATTGACACTTCAGCCAGGTCTCCAGGCGAGGCACATGCACAGTGACACCAGAAACCTCTGGCCAGAAGGAGGGTGAGTGTGAGCAGCTGTGTTAGAGGCAGCTGAAAGAGAGATGTTAAAAGGAAGACTGAAAACTATCCACCGGACCCATCGGTGACCTTCGTAGACCTGTCTGGTCAGTGGTACCAGACGGCAGAAATGACGGGGCTGGAGAGCGAGTGGAAAGTAAAGAAATGGAGATAAAAATGATAGACTGTGCTTTTGAGAAACTTAACTGGGAAGGGGAGTTCAGAGACAAGGCTGGAGGGAGATGCGGAGTGGAGTGGGGAATTATTTTCTTTATGGTAGATTCTTGAGCACATTTAAAATGGGAAGGTTCTAGTGGCGAGGAAACAAATATATGTTTACATTTGTGACAGAAGCATGTATGAGGTTCTTGAAGAGGAGGGAGGGATGGGACCCACAGGGCGCATGGAAGTATTATGTTCAGATAGCAGGAGTGGTGGTTCCTCTGGAGGACAAAGGAAGACAGCGTGGGCCGGGTGGGTTTGGAACTGGGAAGACCCGGGATCCCCACTGAGGGCTTGTATTTTCTATGGAGAGTGAGAGGAAAAGATGGCAGCTGAGGGGAGGGGTCTGAAGAGTCAGGAGGCTGTGGAAGATGGAGGAGGTTTGCAGTGGTCATTCTGGCATCTGCTGTGAAGGGGAAGCCCAGGTTCCACCGGGTCTGGTTGCCTTTTCGTTCACACTCGCTGAGCCTTAGTGTCCACCTCACAGAGTCATCCTGAGGCTTGACTACAACGACGCACGTGTCATGACGGGGATAGTGCACGGCGCAGCACGCTTGTACTCAATGTCGGTCACCCATCTTTTCTCCCTCTGTACCAAGCATAGGGCTGGCCCAGAGGAAGCACTTGGAAAAGCGGGTTCATGATTCTCTAACATGTTACTACTCCTGTCTCTCTGGAAGCTTCTAGGAGTTTCTTTTGGCCACGCTGAACTGCTCCCTTTCTCTCTTCCTAGGCCAGAACTGCACGTTCCAACTGCAGGGTCCCAATGGGACCGTTGAGAGCCCAGGGTTCCCGTACGGCTACCCCAATTATGCCAACTGCACGTGGACCATCACTGCGGAGGACCAGCACAGGATCCAGCTTGTCTTCCAGTCCTTCGCCCTGGAGGAGGACTTTGATGTCCTGTCGGTGTTTGATGGCCCGCCCCAGCCAGAGAACCTGCGAACCAGGTACCACCTGCCCTCTTCCCGGTAGCAAATAGCTGGGCCCTGTGCTAAGCTCGCTGAGAGGAAGTACCCACTGGGGTGAAAGGTTTATGGTCATCAACAAAGACCTCTGTTTTTATGAAGCCCGCCCTCAACGCCTCTGCTTTCTTTGTGTTTCCCAGTTCTTTTCTCCTGCTTAATTAAAAGCACCCAGTGGGCAAGGTTAATGAGTAGGAGGACATTGGGGAAGATTCGATAGAAGATATAGAAGTGTTACAGAGAAATTCAAGTCTTTCTATTGAAACTGGTTTTGCCTGCATATGGCTGTCTGTGTGTCTATCGGTGTGTATTGCTTGCACACACAGAAATGTATTTCCTCCCCTCGGGCCCAGTAGATATGAGATGAAGGCGAATAGGAACTGTGTCTTGCCTCCTCAATACTTTGTTGGAATTTGCTCTGTATTGTCAGGCCTTGGCTATCGGCATAGAATCAGGCATTTGGGGAAGTTCCCACTCTTTCAAACGCCATCGCAGCTGATGGAAGACAAAACCATGGAGACGGGGAGACTGTCTTCCTGTACTAGAGAGAGGCAGGGATGAGAGCTATCGCCTCTGCAGGAAGGGCAGACTTTTCTGGGGCAAATGTAAAGGCCCCAGAGTCATAGCTCTCAGGTTTTGTGGACGGTGGCCTGCCATGCTCCATTGCAAGCCTTGGCCTGGTCCTCTCGGCCAAGCTTTGGGCTCTCCAGGAAGCCAAAGGGTTAATGGCTTACCAGCCAAGCTCAGGGAGCCAGCGGTGCTAATTAATGGTGCATTAATGAGAGGTTCCCTGCCAAATCCTTAACCTTAAGGCTTTGCTTAAGATGCCTGGAGCAGGGTCACAAACAACATTCACAACTCAGCTGCAGCCCTTTCCTCTCTAGCTCCCTGCTCTCAGGCCAGTGCAGAGGTGAGGCAGCCAGGACTGCTGCAGAGGTTTGGCACACAGGTGTTTGGTGAACCTTGGATGAAAGGACTATTGTCCCTTCCCCTCATTCTTTCCACACACATTTTCATGATCACCTATTATTTTCCAGACCCTGGCCTTGGTGCTGGGGAGATAGCAGTGAGCCAAACAAAGCTGCCGCCTTTACAAAGGTTACATGCGAGTGGGAGAGACAGGCATGGATTTGACTATGTGAGTTTAGAGTTCAAGGACGTGGGGCTAGAGATTTAACACTGGGAGACTGGATAGTGCTTCAAACCATGAGGCTGGATGAGGACACAAGGACGCGAGTCCTCACGTCAGACGTTGAGCTCAGGTGACACCATGCAGAGCACCTTCGTAGACTTTTGATGAATGTTGAATGAGACAAAAAGTCAATCAGGTGAAGGGGCTGCTTGGTTGGGGTATGGATGGCCGGGGGCCATCTATTCTGCCTATGGGAGTTCGTCCAGCTTTCCTTGCTCCTAAAAGCAGGGTCCACACATGTATGGTCAGACCTCTATTTTCTGACACTTGGGCTTGCTGGCTCTGAGAGTGAAGTGTAGAAGACCCACCAGAGGTGGGGATTGCTCTGGCCCTGAAGGGTGGGAGTTTCCATGACCCGGGGTGGTGGTCCTGGCAGGGGAGGTCCTGGCCCTGGTACAGCCCACTCTGGCCGATAAGCCATGTTTGCGGAGGAGGCGCCCAGAGTTTCTATCTTCACTAGGTCATCCCTGCTTGGGGTCCTCCTCTGTCATCTTCCTGGTCTGCTCATTTCAGTTCACTTCAAAAGTAGCCAAGGGCATGCAGGCTCAGTTGAGGGGAAGGGCTGGATCTTAGCACCCCGTAGCACCCCTAGAGCAGAGGAGTTCACACCTTGTAGGGCACTAGGGGGGGAAATGACCCCAGAGGACAGTCCACATAGCATCAGAATATGTGCTCCTTGAAGGTTTTGGAATAGTACTTCTTGGGCACGTATGGCGATAGCAAGTGTGTGTTTGGTGGGGACCCTTGGGTCTTTGTGAAATTTTTTATGTTCCTGCATGGTTATTATTCTACTCATGTTTTCTTCTTATTCATAAACCAGTTTCTATATGTATGTTTGTCTAGGAAACCATCATGTATGGAGATTGTCAAGGATATCAGTGTAGAATTGTACATAGTTTTCCCTCACGGCATTTCTGTCCCCACATCTGGGGTCACATCCCCTTTTCTTGTGTCTGCCCCTGTGCATGTGTGTCTTCTCTATTTTTACTCACTTAGTCTTGCTGGAAGTTTGCCTGTTTCATTGATCTTATTAAAATTCCAGCTCTAGGGCTATGGATTTTATTCGTTCCCTATTATCTAACTTACTGATTTCTGCTTTTATCTTTATTCGTTCTTTTCTCCCACTCACCTTAGGCCTATGTGGCTCTTTTGCTGATTTCGTGAATTGAATTAGTTGCATTATTTTTGTTTGATAATAAAACATTAGGAGGCATTTTCCCCTAAGTACAACTTTGACCATATCCCATTAATTTTGATGGATAGTCGTTATTGTAGAAAGGGTCTCTAATTGCCTTTTTTCCCTTCCTTGACTCTGGGGTTTTGGTTTTTATCCTCAAATTTTCCAGTAATTTTTTTATACTTAAGAAATTATTATGTAGTTCTATTGCATTATGATCAGGTCATGAGTTCCACTTTGAAGAATTTGTTGACTTTCCCCCACAGTACAAAATCATGTTTTTGTAAATGTCACGTATTTGAAAAGAACATATGTTCTGTGGTTGAAGGGTAAAAAAAAACATTCATGTTATTAATACTATTTAATTTTTCTACCTTCTTATTTACTGTCTAAATAATATTTGTCAAGGATAAGCAGTGTACTGTTTTTACATTTTCATTGGTTTTTTTGGTCAATTTTTTCTTTTATTTCTATGCCTTTAAAAATGTATTTTGATGCTATACTTTTCAGCATGTATGTATTTTTAAACTTTAGATCTTCAGGGTGAATTATATATTTTTTTAATATAAAAATTATATTTATCCTGAAATGTTTTACATGCTTTAACTTGTACTTTGATACGAATACTTCCACTTTTGTTTTCTTCTCGGTTTGCATTTATTGAGTTCATCTTTACCAATTGCTCCATTTTTAATGTTTCTATGTCATTGTGTTAGGTATACCTCTTAGTACAGCATATAGTTGGATTTTTAAATCTTTCCTGAGAGTCTTTATTCTTTAACAGGAAAGTTTAATTCACTCACATATTTTGGGTGATAATGAATATATTTGCTCTCATATAATATTTGTATAATACTTAATACTGTATGTTTTTAAGCTTTCTTACTATTATTTCCATTTCTCTGTCTGCAGGGGTAAGTTTTCTTTGCCTTTTCTATGACTTATATTCTACTGGTGGTTAAAGTTACTGCTTCGGAACACATTTAAACTGTATTTTCTGTCAGCATCTTGCCTAGTTAGCCTTTTTCTTAATCGGGTCTGTCATTGCATCTTCTAGAAATTTCTGAGTGTTTGTAGCATGTAGATGTGTGTCTGTTTTTCCTAGTTTCCAATATGGACATATATAATCTCTCTTTTTATATATTATACCTTAGATTATTTTGATGAGATTTAGGGGGTCCTGTTGAAGAGGAACTTTACATGTTGTCTTGCCTTTCCACCTTGAACTAGAAGTTTCTCTTAAGGTTTTTATTCTTTTTGGTGCTATTGTGAAGAGAATTATTTTTAATTTAATTTTATTTTTGGATTATTCATTGCTAATATATAGAAATGCAGTTGATTCTTGTATATCGATCTCGTATCCTGTGACCTAGCTAAACTTGTTGTTAATAGTTCTAATAGTGTTTTTAAATCTGTGAATCAAAACAGTTTTAGTTCTTCTTTCCCAATCCAGTTGTCATTAATTAGTTTTTTGTTGTTGCCTAATTGTGCTGGACAGAGCCTTCTGTATAACATTGAATAGAAGTGGTGAGCGTTGGACATCCTTGCCTTGTTCCTGATCTTAAAACATTTAGCCTTTCCCGCTAAGTATGATGTTAGCTGTAGGTCTTTGGTAGATGCCTTTCTAATGAAGGTTTTAAGCAGGGGATTTGGGAATGATCCGACTGCAGTGTAGAAAATGCACTGGGGTGGAGTCCAGACCGATGACTGCCAGGCCAGGCAAGAGACGGTGGTGGCCTACGTGTTAACAACGAAGAGAGAAGATAGGATTTATATGATGTTATGGGAACGTGTTGTACCCGGAGTTAAGCGTGGATTTATAGGGACTCTGGATCAGGAATAAGACAATGGAAGGGGTGGAGGATGACTGTACAGTGTCTGGCTTGGAAGCAGAGAACAAGCCAGCTCGGCCTACAGTGAATTTCAGTCTCCAGTGAAATGCGTCCTCCTGGCATAGCAGGGGATGTGCTGCCCTGACGTTATTCTTCACTCATCTAGCAGAACAGGTAGGTCACCTCCTGTCCCAGTGTTTTCCTGGGAGACAGTAGGATACAGTGGGGACAGGCCTGGCTTGGTTCTGCATTTATTTGTGCTGTGACCTGGGCAAAGTTTGGCTTCTCTGAGCCTCATCTATAAAACGGAGGTGACACTGACATGCCTTACAGGGTTGTTGGATGTGAGCCACCTGCTGCAGATCTCTCAGTGCTCCGTAAACATTTGCATTTCCCCTGCCCTTTTGTTCTCAGGACCTAGGAACTTGGACCATTCCAGAGGGCTTTGGTGCCCGTGTGGACACTTTATCTGTGGCTCAACCATTAGGCTTTTTAGCTCAGGGGACTGCAGATGTGGTGTACAGACACTGAAGATACCTTCTTCATTCACTGTGGGGCACCTTACTGATCCTGTGGTAGCCCAGCACGGGGGCAGGACCACCAAGAAACCCATAGTGGGCTTCTCTCTCTATCCCTCAGGGCTTGCTGTGTTTATTGTCTACAAATTGACAGGCATAAGTTTTGCACTCCTGTTCTCTGTGCATTTTTAATGCATTTCTCTTTTCTTCCCTTACTTCCAACACTTTTTTACTTTATTTATGGATGCATTCCAGCAAAAGGTGGA